GTTTGAAAAATCACATTCATGAGAAATATTTTCCATACAAGTAGAGTCAACTGCACAGACCTTGATCTTCGTTTGCATGATGTTCTGCAGGTCTGTATCCATGTAATTTGTTAGGAGTAATTAGCAGAACAAACAATGTAGACTTTTTCTGTGGGTACATTATGTGTTGGTAGATTTGGGTTTATGTTGTTTGCATGAATATGCAAGTATGTACAGTGTATTGCTTATCCATTGCAAGAATTTAGTTGTTGTTGTTGGGCTTAATGCCATTTGCAGCACACGATAGGCTATTCATGGTGGCCAGTATTAATGGTGGAGGAAGAAACTGGGAAATCACCGGAAAGAACCACCAACCCAAGAGAAGCTACTGGCAAGCTTTCTCACATATCCACATTCGCCGAATCCTAGACTCGAACCCACGAAGACAGAGGTGAGATGGCAGTGATCCGTAATGGACAGTGCTTTAGACCTCTTGGCCACTTGGGGCCCCCAAGAATTTAGTGAAATAATAGCTTTTGATGGCAGTGGTGTTTTATGATGAAAAATTGGTTGTTCAGATAAAATAAAAACATTACTGACAAGCTATAAGAATTCAAACCTTAACAATAAATCCCTTTCAGTTCTATCAAAATTGGAATGTAGGTTTTGTACACTTTTTCCAATGTTTCATAAAGGATCTCAGTTTGACCATACACTGAACTTTAACAGTTTTCTTGGAGTGCAGTTTTCATGAACTTAGATTGTCATTCATCTAAATAGCTGATGACATGATTTAATATGACTTTCTTGTTACAAAACCAGTATTCAAATGTTGTATATGACATGATTTAATGACTTGTTACAGAATCAGAATCAGTATTCCATGTTATTTGTGACATGATTTAATCTGACTTTTTTGTTACAAAACCAGTTTTTCAAGTTGTGAGTGACATGATTTAATATGACTTTCTTGTAACAAAACCAGTGTTCAGAGGCCCCTAGTGGCCAAGTGGTCTAAAGCACTGTCCATTACCGATCACTGCCATCTCACCTCTGTCTTCGTGGATATGTGAGAAAGCTTGCCAGTAGCTTCTCGTGGGTTGGTGGTTCTTGGTGGTTCTTTCCGGTGAGGTGATTTCCGGGTTTCTTCCTTTACCATTAATACTGGCTGCCATGAATAGCCTATTGTGTGCTGAAAAATGGCATTAGGCCCAACAACAACAACAACAACAAAACCAGTGTTCAATGTTGTGTGTAACATGATTTAATATGACTTTCTTGTTGCAAAACCAGCATTCAGATCTGTGTGACATGATTAAATATGATTTTCTTGTTATAAAAACAAGTATTCAAATCTTGTGTGACATGATTTAATATGACTTTCTTGTTAAAAAGCCAGTGTTCAGTGTTGTGTGTGACATGATTTAATATGACTTTCTTGTTTCAAAACCAGTATTCAAATGTATGTGACATGATTTAATTTTAATATGACTTTCTTGTTTACAAAACCAGTATTCAATGTTGTGTTTCTATTGTCATTTTGAAATAATGAGGTCAGAAAATTGAGATCAGGATGTGCTGGAAATTGAGATATTTTATGAGAGATGAGGCCTGACCCATATTTAAACTGGGTGTGCACAGCTAAAAGCACATAGATGAACACATGCAGGTGTTAATACACATAGATGTATACATACAAATGCTAAGACACAGATAAACATCTGAAAATACTAATACATAAAGATATACCCATATACACTCTGGCATGCTGAATAAGGGGCAAAGGAATTGATTTGCCTTAGGAAACACTTAAGCAGGGGTGGCAAAAAGGTAGAAGTGAAAAGAGAGAGTGAATGAATGAATGAATGAATTCGGTGGTGCCACCCTATGGTGGTGCTAGTATGGCCCTTGACAGCTTGATTTCTGTGACCTGGGTTTACAGAGATCAAGTCAATAATATTCTAGGGTTGATTAATGCTGAAGGCATAATCTACAGTCAGGTGTACATTAGTGCTAAAGGCAATTTTAACAATGTTGTATACATTAACCAGATATAATAGTTGACATGGACCAGTGACAATTATGTCTTACTAGAGACAAGGGAAATCTTAGGTGCAGTGAGTATTGACATTAAAAATTTGTCAGCAGTATCAGTTATTTGCTACAATAATTGAATGGGATTTTTTTCAATTAACTCTATTATAACAAATCACAACATGAGCAAGTGGCAGAAACTAAGTGGGGCAAAAATAGAAAGTGCAGAGAAATTCCCCCAAAAATAGAGGTAGGTGGTGCTGCAGATATTTGTTGTGTGTGTCAGCATAGCTAGCTGCAATGGAGCCTTTCAGAACTCAAACTGATAAAGGTATATTTAAGATCCACAGTGAGCAAGGCATGGCTGACCACTTAGAAATGCTGTCCATTGAAAGGGAGATGGCTCAAAAACAATCAACTTTGAAGACATATTTGTTACTTTACATTGGTAAAAGTGCATAATTGTACATTGTGGCATTTTGACCTGAATGAAACAAAGTTATAGATATTTTTAATTATGTGATACAGACTTGACTTCTAAACTTTAAAATTTCTAATTATAAACTCTTAATTAAAAAATTACATTGACAGTGTGGCATAATTACAATATTGCTAACACGTTTTTCTTTGTTGATGATTATGTTTTTCAAATAACTAAAAAGGGTTGTGCTGCATAAAATAAATGGCAAATCGAGTGCTCTTGGACCTCTGGCATTTTAGTCATTTTAGTACCTTATACCACTGTGTACAGTGTATGTGCAATTACATTTATAAATGAACATGTATGGATCTACATATGCAAGTAATAATATAATTATGGATTATATATGCAAGCAATAATAACTATGGATGTCTGTAAGCAATAAAAAGTGACTAAGTGTATAAGCAAGCATTAATACATGTATGGATGTACATATGAAAGCAGTAATACATGTATAGATGTACATATGCAAGCAATAATACATGTATAGATGTACATATACAAGCAGTAATACATGTATAGATGTACATATGAAAGCAATAATACATGTATATAGGTACATATGCAAGCAACAATATATGTATGGATGTACATATACAAGCAGTAATACATGTATGGATGTACATATGTATGCAATCATGCATGTATATATGTACATTTGCAAGCAATAATAACTGGATGCATGTAAGCAATAATAAGTGACTAAGTGTATGGATGTACATATGCAAGCAATTATACATGTATGGATGTACATATGAAAGCAATGATAAGTGTATGGATGTACATATGCAAGCATACATGTATGGATAGAGATGTGTAAGCAATAATACATTTATGGATGTACATATGCAAGTAATAATCCATGCATGGATATACATATATGTAAGCAATAATACAAGCAATAATACATGAATGGATAGACATATACAAGCAAGAATACATGTGTGGATAGACAAATGCAAGCAAAACTACACATGGATGTATACATGTAGGGTGCAAATTTAACACAGATTTCTTTGTAGCCAGAAGAAAATCTTACTAGTCCTGCCAAATCTTTACTAGTTCTGTCCATGAAATAATATTATGCACTTGTATTGAGATTAACAACAATATTATTCATAAAAACCATTAACATATGAAATGCAGAAGTACAAATCATATGCATCAAATAATCCATCAGTCAATTCACATTTCTTGTTTCTACTAAACTTTAGTAGTCATGTTACTATTGTGAACTGTATGTTGTTATGTGGGTGGGTGGCAGCTGTGAACTGTTCGTTGTTATGTGGGTGGGTGGCAGCTACTTTGGGGAATTAGCTGGTAGAGCAAACAAAACAAATGTCTAGGCTACATATCTCTTTGATGCTTACTTTTCACTGTCTCCAAATTCCCTCCTCTCATTTTAATTCAAAATCTCAGTATATATATATATATATATATATATATATATATATATATATATATATATATATATATATATATATATATATATCTTAGTCCTAGGGGACTTCACAGGAGACTACTGATATCATATTTCTATAACTGGCTTGATTGTTTCTGGTACACAATAAACTAAACATATGATATCTCACTAATGAGTTGTCCAGAAGTTAATTTAAAAACAAATGATTATAATATGTCTGATCACATTCACACACTTTCAACTTCTACTTCAAAATGTAAATCTTAAATAAATGACCTTGATATGTAAAGGTTGGCAAAGATTGTTAGAATTCAAGTATAAAATATATATTTCTTTCAAAACAATATACAAAAAATATTTTTGCTAATTAGAAAAACTAAATCTACTATCTTGTCTTTAATATCATCAACATTTTCAAAGTCTAAAACTAATTAATAAGTCTTGTAAATAATCATTTAGTCAGTTTGCACAAACACAATGTATGTTGTTCTCACCAGCTACAAGATCATGGAGCCAGAGACCCATTAAAAAATGATTTATGTCCCTAAAGCCATGGGGTGTCAGCTTGCTGTAAAGATTATACTTGCATTGTCTCTAGATTGCAGAAGCAGAACATTTATTGAAATGTGGATTCTATGCAACATGGCTATTACAAGACCAGAAAATTGTGAAAACAGTTGAATCATATCAAATGTCCCTAATACAATAATATGGATCCAATTCCATAAAGGGATCAAGGTGTCCTTTCTTGTCCTGCACCTGCACTCAGGGTCCATATGGGGGTTGTTCCCATCTTCTTACCTGTCTCCCTGAAACATTCCACAAATGTATTGCTGGTGATGGATCATTTGTTGGAGTGTTTGTGTGATTTAGATTTTTAACATAGCTTTTAACAATTTTTCAGTCATATCCTTAGGATGTCTGCAGTGTGACAGTTTATAGTGACATCTAGCACCAGGGCATTATGCCGCAGACATGTGACATGATGTCCCACCCAGTCACATTATCCTGTTACCAGGCTGATATTAATGTTGAGCGCCAAGTGAGACAGCTGTTAGTACCATTTTTAAAAGTCTTTGGTATGACTCGGCAGGGATCGAATCGGCATGACCTCCCGCATCCGAGGCAGATGCTCTAACCACTAAGCCACTGGAGTGGTTCATTTGCTGGAATATCATTTGTATAGAACATTATAGGTCAGACAGAAAAAAGTTGCAATCATGATCTCCAGTCACTCTTCATCATTTTCATCACTAAGAAACCCCTCTCAGTATCAGTAGAGTGTGCTGGGATTGTTAGGATAAGGCCAATCAATGCCAGAATTTTCCTGCAGTCAGCAGCACATAATTTTACAACTGTGGACCATGTAACAGAATTGAAACCAGTTCGATTTCTCTGTTTGGACTAAATGAATAACAACAACATAAAGCGATGAATGATTGAATTTATAAAATGTGTTACTAAATATATATAGATATGGATATAAAACAAATGTAAAGACTCTTACACTACTATCATATGACTAACACAATATGTTCTACATACACTCTTCAAATGAGAAAAGAAACAAAAATATGATCTATCCTAACAAATATATCACATGCTATGAAAAAATGAAAAGTAAGAAAAATGAAATATGAGATCCATTTAATCTCATATAAGTATTTAATTGAGATTCACAAAATCTCTTGAATGGAAATGAGCAATACTCAGTGTTATTTCTGACACTTCGACCACTTCCTGCGTTCAACGCAAATGAATGAACACAAACATACGTCCCTCAACTGGAATCCACTTCCTAAACTGACTATAGTTTATATGATATATGACACCACTCTCATTAGACACCACTCTCATTAGACACCACTCTCATTAGACACCGAATCTCCTGCTAGGCTTCGACAGTTCCACTGAGGCTTCGTTATCCGATAATGTTCATTAAGCTTTCCTAAGCTACCCAATGGGCTACAACAATTGGATCCAACAGACTCCAATGGCTCCCATAATTCACAACAATCACAATAGACTCCCGGGATCTATATTAATATCGAACTGTCTACAATGGTATCCAACCACCTTCAATAGTATCGAACAGGCTACTTAAGTATCCAATGGCTACTATAGCATCTGACACTTGTATCCAAAAAGAAAAGAAAAGCTACAATAAAACAAAGCTATTTGTTAATAAAATGGTACTAAGAACAAACGCTAAAAACAGGACACAAAAACGAGAAATAGTTTCACAAATCAAATAAGAGAAATAGTTTCACAAATCAAATAAGACAAATTTCGACACTTGGCCTGAGAGATGGTAGAAAGTTTGCCTACCACTGAGAAATCCAAATGACTTGTGTCTTAGTTTACAATGTATCAAGCTTAAGACCATAGGAGTGATTGATTGTCATAGCTAAATGTCCATGTAATCCATGCTTTTAAATGGTTCTCGACTACATGATTTTTGAATCACTTTACCAGGTGGCAAGTGATTCACCCCAGGTAACGTTGTTGTTGTTGGGCTTAACGCCATTTTTCAGCACACGATAGGCTATTCATGGCTAGGCTATTCATGGCGGCCAGTATTAATGGTGGAGAAAGAACCACCGACCCACCACCAACCCACGAGAAGCTACTGGTAAGCTTTCTCACCTATCCACATTGATGAATCATAGACTCCAACTCACACAGACAGAGGTGAGATGGCAGTGATCCATAATGGACAGCCCTTTAGACCACTATACCCTGTACAAGGAATAAGGTGAAAAAGAGATTAAAGGCAAAACCAAGTTATTTTTAGCCTTATTCTGTGACAGACCAAGTCAAAGCATATGTCTTTGTAATTGCAAGATAACAGAATACATTAAGAAAATATTTATCTGAATAAAGTTACATCAAGAAAAATGGAGTGGTAGTACTTAAATAATTTTTATATTACATTGTTTTTAAAAGCTTTTTTTTTTAAATGGTTTCCTTTTGCAATCAAGTAACTATGCTAAATAAAGAATTTTTAACAAATCTGGCATCAGTGATGTTTCTTGTATTTATTTTTAAATATTTGAATATACACCTACTTGCTGTAGACTAAACTCATTAATATGTCCCATGCCAGTTCCACTTCATGAGCATCAACATCTGCACAGACAAGCACTGGCTATAAATTTCTGCCTTTCACTTTCAGTTATGTTTCAATCCTGTAAGTCCCTCCAACATCAACTCCTTTCATCTCATCCAGCTAACACATCCATACAAAATCAGTGAAGGGTCTTTAGTTCTTTGCCATAGCTCTTTCCACCTGAGCTCAATGTTGTCCTGACAGGCAAAATTTGTGAAATTCACTGTTTCAGAAACTGTAACTTCAGTTTATTGCAAAACAGAAAGGTCAATTATGGCTTGATGAATAGAAAAATATCTCAGGAGGAAAACAAGCCATAAATTATGGTCATATGCCTTTAAAGACCTAAATAGAAGGAAATCAAGAGTCATGGGTAAAGCAAAGTATTTGGAAGTTACTGACCTTGTTTCTTATATAGTATAATAGTGTCTTATGTCAGAACAGGTCATGGGTAATCTGAGATATTTTTGTCACTCTGTCTGATTGTTTTCCTTTAGATTATTGTTTTTTATTTCTAATTATCAAACTTGTGTCGTGCACCTATTGTCAAACACATTCCATTTAAACTTTCCAGGATCTTACCAATAGTCGATTCTTCTGGTGGTGTCTGCATAACTGCTTTTCTCTCTGAACTCTTTTATGTTTCACCAAAGCTTTCATGCATGTTTACTGATACAATTGTAAAGTTGAGCAACTTGTTTGGTTTTTGCGAGTTCCATATACCTGTTATACTGCATAACATTCTTTTCTTCATCATAATTCAGCCATTCCCAGTCTTTTGTCCATGTCTTCTGAAACGTTTGATTACACTTTTTCCTATCATAAGAATTACTCCTATCTTTTATGTAATTTTCATTCAATTTTTGCTTCTTTTCTGTGGCTGAAAACGTTCTATGAAACGTCACATGTTGTCTGTCTTATAAGGAGTGAATTATGTCTCGTTTGGAAATACGATACGAGATATTACAGTATAAATGACTTGAGTTTTTTAAAAAAATAAGAAAATAAATCTCACAGTGTTCTTTATATAAGAAAGAGAAAGAAATACCATTTCAAAACATGTGCCTCTTTCCCATTAAATGGCCTATCTCTGATAGACATCAGTAGTTGTTCTGCAGGATCAAAGCAGTGGCTATTGTAAACACTGCTACAGAAATTAGCATCAGAAGATACTGTTCATTTCAGCTTAGAAAAGGTGTGTTCTCATGAAACGAACCCATTTGACTGTGGTTTTGTAAAACAGCTCCAATTATAGTCTCATTATTAATAGCAGAAGTTTGGTAATTCCTAATTAATCGGACCTTAGTGTATTGTTGAAATAAATAATAAGGTAAGCCTTTTCAAATCTTAAACAACCATTCTCAGAGATTTTATCTCCCAACAAATGTATAGCATTCTTCTTGGATATCTCCATGTGTATTCAATTATTTGTTTATTTTTAGAAGGGAAAAAAACAAATTTATTCTTATTATCTTATGTAGAGTAGTTGTATGGAAAGGATGTGTCAATAAAGTTATCATAATAAATAGATAAAAATTTTTATAATTATTTCTATGTGTGTGTAAAATATTTAGCTTTCTGTTTGTGACTGTTGGAGTGTTTGGCTAACAAGCAACCTCCCCCTCCAAAGAAATCCTTAATTAAATAATCATGTAAACTTTATTTTCTAGGAATAGCATTTGTGTTGTTCTTTTGTGTGGTGTACTGTTTTGTAGTTTATTACAGTGGTCAAGTGAATAAAGTTCGATTTCAGGTCATTTTTCATTTAATTTGTTATTAGATTAATTAGGATCAATTCCAAAAAACCATTGTTAATGATGGTACCATAATTTGAAAAGGAGCCCTGCATGGTTGAGTGGTCTAAAGTGCTGTCTGTTATGGATCACTGCCATCTCACCTCAGCATGGGTTAAAGTCTAGGATTCTTCCAATGTGGATATGTGAGAAAGCTTGCCAGTAGCTTCTCGTGGGTGATGGGTGGGTCATCGTGGTTCTTTCCTGTGGTTCTTTCAGGTGATTTGGTTTCTTCCTCCACCATTAATACTGGCCAAATGAATAGCCTATTGTGTGCTGAAAATGGCGTTAAGCCTAATATCAACAACAACAACAACCATAATTAGTTCTCTTAAGTGAAACACATCTGATGGCTTCTTGTTATGAAATGCACCTTTCTGAGATTGAGTTCATCTTCTCAAGCTGATATTTTACGACTTTGTTTACAATGGTCACTGCTTTGATTCTACAGAACATCAGCTGATGTTGTCTTTGTTACAGAATGGCATAAACAAACACTGACTGTTGATAACCAAAACTTACTAACTGCCCATCTGGACTATAACATTATGAAGGTTACTAGTCTGACAGAAATCTGACAGAAATCTACCTGCCTCTGTTTGGTCTATGGACTACCAAGACCAGCAAATTTGGAGCCCTGACATGCAAGCAGTAATTCATGTAGGGATATAGGTATTAGGGATATAGGATATAGGTATTAGGGATATACCATATAGGGATATATGATATAGGGATATACTGTGCAAATATTAATGCATGTATGGATATACATATGCATGCAATAATACATGTATGGATAGAGATATGCATGCAATAATACATGTATGGATTGAGATATGCATGCAATAATACATGTATGGATAAACATAAGCAAGCATTATAAGTACATGTATGGATAGAGATATGCATGCAAAAATACATGTATGGATTGAGATATGCATGCAATAATACATGCATGGATTGAGATATGCATGCAATAATACATGTATGGATAAACATAAGTAAACATTATAATACATGTATGGATTGAGATATGCATGCAATAATACATGTATGGATAAACATAAGCAAGCATTATAAGTACATGTATGGATTGAGATATGCATGCAATAATACATGTATGGATTGAGATATGCATGCAATAATACATGTATGGATAAACATAAGCAAGCATTATAAGTACATGTATGGATAGAGATATGCATGCAAAAATACATGTATGGATTGAGATATGCATGCAATAATACATGTATG